CGCGGCTCGTAACTAGGCCGCACTTGCTCCGATCTGCCTGAAAGTCGACATGCCGGATCACAGTCCTGCCCGGAGCAGGTTTGCCCCACACCCCGCCATGCGCAAAGGCCGACAAGCGTAGGGCGAGGACCCGTCCATCGCCGCTTGCGGCTTTCATTTTAATTGGCAGTGCTGTGGTTTTAATTCAGTTCCTCACAAGAATGGCTGTCTGTCGCCTCTCCTCTCCAACAGTGTCGGCTGATGAGGCTCCAGCTGTCAAATGGATGGATCACATCGTAAAGTTTACGGGACAAAACATCTGCAGTAAACTACTTTTAGCTCATTTTCATATAATTCAGCTGTTTAAACTGTATTAGTGATTGTATTAAAGATTAAAGTTACTCCACCTCCTTGGATTAGACGGGAGTTTAAGGAGTTCAGTGCCGGAAAAACGAAGGCAGCAAGAGTCACTCTTTCAAAACTCCTGTTCATAGGTGATGTCTGGTTTCACACACAGTCAGTGGCTCTCATGTAATCTGACTGCTTAGATGGTGGCGAAAAAATAATGTTTTTCATTTTGGATTTTAATGATTAAAGTTTTTGATATGAACAGAAGTGTGTAGGTGACGGTGATATTTCCGTCTGAGAGGCTGAATACCTTCAAATTTTATAACAGATCATAGGCTGTGTGCATAAGATCATATTTCTAGTTCTAGTTCAATCGTCTCCCCGTGTCTTCCATGTTGTGGCACGAAACACCTAAAACAACATCCATCCATCATCTATACACAGCTTCATCCTCTGTAGGGATGTGACAGGTCCGCCAGTCAATCACAGGGCTACACTTAGAGACAGACAACCAAGCACACTCAAACTTACACCTACAGACAATTTAGAATCACCAACATGTCTTTGGACTGTTGGAGGAAACTGGAGAACCCTGAGAGAACCCACGCTGCACAGGGGAGAACATGCAAACTCCACGCAGAAAGATCCCAGGACCAGATTCAAATGGTTACATTTTCTGAACCACTCTATGTATGAACGAGGGCCTGACTGTAAGAAAACCCCCAAAGTTTCTTGTGAAAATGTCTGAAAACCTGGACTTGATAAAGAAACAGAGCAGTGAAACTGAAGATTTTTAGATGGGGTGTTGAATAACACAAAAATACCTATTAAATGCGTTGTATGAATTCTTAAAATATCTCCTTTTTTTGCAGTTTATTTTAAAAGTGCAGCTTGACATGTGACAAATCACAGGTGTGTAACAATACAATGACTGCTGCCGGATCACTGAAACACCTGAAATGTTCTTAGTCATATGATTTGTCACACAGGCTCACATCTCTGTGTGTTTGTATGTAACTAAACCCATATTTTGTGACATTGCACATACTGTAATAAAAATATTAGTTGCAGCTAAAAACGAAACACACTATTTCACAATAAATAAGGCAGCTGTATTATTTTATAATTAATTGTTCATATATTTGTTTAATTCCATTAATTTGTCCCTTTGATTTAATTCTATCATTTTATATATATTGTATATTATCATCTTTATTATCAAATAAGACATTTTCCACACAAGTGACCAAAGAATAAAACTCACATACAGAAAACCACAAACAAAATATTTAATTTTGACAATTACATGACCTCTGATGCTCCAAGAGGTAAACAAGACAGTACAAAAAGTTGCCATAAAATAAGACGATGACCAAAGTGTGACAATGAGTTGGCAGTCCTAGTCCCATGTTAAACCTAAAAACAGCACAGCACTGACGGACACATGGAGGCGGCGTTGGAATGTGACGGCGAGAGTGTACCAGGACAGAGAAAGGCTTTGCATCTGAGGAGATAACCACATCCTGCTACATGGATCACTGCTCCAGTCAATGTGGAGTTAAAACACAAGAGAAGAAAGAAAAACCAACAAATACAATAATCACAAAACAAAATCATTAGAATATCTGAGATTCAGCCCTGAGATTAACACATGGACAAAATAGTTTTCAAAATCCAGACATTTTGTAGGTTTGCAAGAATAAAACATATTCCAAAATCTGTATTTGGTACAACTGCTTGTGAGTGAAAAAAAAAGAAAATGCTGTGAAAAATTCCAGGCTTGATGACACATCTGCTCATTAAAAACAAAAAACAAAAGCCTGTTATTTCACTGCAACAAAACAGAAAATACACAAAACATAAAGATGGCACAAATGGAACAGACACAGTGTTGTGGGAGTCAGGAGATGTGTGAGTGTTCTGCTGCTGGTGAGACACTGAGCAGACGAAGCCTTCAGCTGCCTCTGTGTGGAAATCTGTTGACATCAAGTCAAGGCTTAACGGGCCTCACACGCTGATCTCACCCAGCACAGCGCTGCCCCCGATGGCGCTGATGTGAAAGTACACAGACGTTAACACCAACACTGATCACAGAGACGTCTTGAATACAAAGAGGCGGGCTGAAAGGCCCAACGCCCCCAAACTCCACCTGATCCAACAGGTACCGACACACCCGGAGCTAATCTCAGCACACAAGTCTTAGAGGGTCAGTGTGCATCTGCGTGGTCAGAGGGGTCCTCAGGAACCGGCCCACCGTGCCTCTGGTATTAATAACAATAACATCTGCAGCAGGAAAGTGCATGCAAGCTGCCTTTAGCCATCAGGATGTCCAAAGGGACGTGATGTACAGTACATCCACTGATTTGTCGTTGCACCACAAGCTAGTTAGAACTGGAAAACAAACAAACAAACAAACAAAAAATCATATATACCTCTTGTATGTCAGATAAGGCTTTTTTTTTTATTTTATTTTTTTTAAGAAAGGTTCAGGTGCAAACGCACCTTTTAGGCCCAAGTCAAGACACAAAATCGTGAATGATCAGGAACACTAACATGGCCATTACTATTGAACCTACTGAAGACTGATGTAAAGCAAAGATCCTCAGTGTCAGCACAGAAAAGTGTGACACACCAGCATACAGAAGACCCGATGTCTTCAGTAACACTGGTGGAATCAAAATCGAGCGACTCTGCAGCTGATTCTGCAGACGAGGGTTTGTTGATGTACACTCAACAGCAGAGTGAATACTGAACTGCAAACTTTGGAACTGAAAGAAACGACTGAAGCTCAAACAGAGAAGAAATCCAAGTAAACAGCAATGATTTGCATTCAAAGGAACCCCTGAACTTTTAGGGGAAAACTCTGTTTCATGAATTGATCATCCTCTAACAGGGCTCAATACAAATCATACTGAAATCCTATCATCATTACCTGATATAAGGGCAGAACAGGCAAACACAATATGGACACAGTTAAGTGCTCCCAGCCTGAAGTGGGAGCTCAAAGTGCTTTAAGCCAAATGAAAAAAAAACAACAGACCCACACAGTCTCATTCTGATGGTTGGATGTGGTTCTTTAGAAACGACTCGTGAGCTTCAAAGAGCCACATGAGAGAGCCTGATGTGAACGAGGGCTGGAGGCTGAAGAAGGTAATACTGCAGCCGGAGCAGAGGACCAAAGTGCTCCCTGTGAAAATACATTCAAACACACACTGTCCGGCTCCCTCAACATCAACCGGACCCCACGTTCAGCGTGAGGTCATTTGGGTGAATTCTGCACTGGGAACAAAACGTCATGTGATGTGTGAGGATCTAAGAAGGTTGTTGCATTTAATACGGAACCCTGTTGTGTTGACGCCAATCAGGTACCTTACTCTGTAAGGGGAGTGTTTTGACCCCTAAGTCCTTTGTTTTCTGTCCCATCTTGTGGTAAAACCAGCATCTCCTCGATTGGCTTGATATTTCAACATCACACTGTTTACCAATAACTTAAAAAAAAACAAAAAAACAAAAACAACACACACAATCAAACCTCTTTGACAACTGCTAAAGAAGCCGATACGAAACGTCCAGGAATAAATAAACCAAATATAATCAAATACTTAGAAAATCTTTACAAAATTAAATATCTTTGATTGTTATTCATATTTAATTCAGGAAAAAAAAAATCCCATATAAATAACTACACAAATGACTAATTCAGCATGTTACTTTAAGAGTAGTTTTCCTCCGTCCACAGGTGGTGTTGGCTGATGAGTACCGTCAGACTGGACCGAGGGAGGCTCCTCCAGTCACAGTGTCGGGGGTCAACAGTGCAGTTGAAGAGCAGAGGGTGAAGTTAAGGTTTGTGGGTGCTAGCTGTCAGTCAGAAGAACCCTGGTCCACGGTTGCCACGGTGACCAGCAGTAATGGGGAAGGAGAACCACCGCAGGACGCTGCAGGTGAACGTTCTAGATGGAGAGAAAGTGAAGTGAATTTCTGTGTTTGTCAAAGAAAAGGTTGTTTAAGAAAAAAAGAATGGAGCGAATCAAACTGCTGCTACAGTCAGCAAATGGCAGACAACTTTTAATTTCAGTTCTGAGTGTTAATTATTAACTAGCTGCTACCTACATTTCCTCATGCTGGCTCGTAAAAGAGCGATTCAGGGATGCGACTAACAGTTCATTAATGATTCATCTGCTGATTATTTTCTCAGCTAATCAGTCAGTGGTTTTATGAATAAAACATCTGAAAGCTGCACAAAAAAAAAAAAACAGTCCTCAGCATCCTACAACACAAGAAAACACCTTTAACTATGTTGTGTGTCCAACAGTCCAAACTAGGCTACGGCAACACATCCAGTTCATTCCATTCATTTGGCTGCATTCCCACTGCAAACCCTCCATTCAGATCTACTGCTTAGATCGGTTTTTCTTGTTTGGCTGGTCACACTTTCTTTTTTTAAGACATCCAATATCAGATTCCAGTGTGAACTGGTCACAGTCCTCAACTGACGGCATGTGCAAAAGAACACAATGTCAAGTAAAGCATGAAGTCAGATTTTTACGGTTTCGTTTATAAGCTGTTGCGCAATCGAAGCTAAAAAAGAAAACGGGGAGAGAAGTTTTTTTTCTATATGCTTTCAAAGACAGACTGATGATGCTACGACCCCTCATGTTTTGCTCGTGCGGAAGTTTCACCTCAGTGCCAGCGCAGAATTGTGACGACTGACGATCTACTCTGATGTACAAGTCACATGAAATCCAACTGTTCAGATGGAGGTTGCACCGCCAAAAGGGTTAACCTGTCCATGATTAATAAAAGTGGCACAAACTAAAATTGAACAGATCAGATGACTGCCATTGTGCTACTCCTATTGTTATAAAAATAAAATAAAATAAAATAGAGAGAGATGTGAGTCACATATGCAGTGTGGACGATGTGACAAATGCCTGAATTCAGATCTGTGCTTCCTTTGCTTTCTCTCAATCAACACCGGCACTAGCAGTGAGAAACAGTTCTCTGGAGTCACAGCAGTAACATAAGCTGTCAGCGTTTCCTCAGAGAGGCCAGCGTGTGTGAGCTTTGCCAATCACACTTGAAAAATGGCAGGTGATGAAGAAACAAAACAGAAGAAAGGTTCATTACTTCAGAGATTCAGTAATGGTGCAGTTTTGTAAAGTCTAATGTGGAACAGACCATCATGCTGTGTAAGGTTTGCAAAAACGAAGACACGCAACATAGTGAACCTGTTACAGACATAGAGCGAAAACAGCGGGGGACTGGGAACAATGGGGCTCTTTGAGATTCAGACGCTAACTCCCATCCAAATCCCACAATCACAACTAAAAAGCAGCCAATATTTGCTGCCTCGGTTTCCAGTGTCACCCTGTATTAGAAAACAGGGAACAGGTGGAAGGACATTACAGAAACGCTGGCACGTTGTATCAGGAACATTATGGTGCCCAAGTACACAGTGGAACAGCCTGGCTTCACTGGTAGATCCAAACCCAGGCTCATTCCATGTACCGTGATCAAGAATATTCACTGATGACCTATATTTCATAACTACATTCATAACAACTAAAGCTACAACGAAACATGTTAATGAAATAAAAACCATATAACAACATCAAAGAGGATTGTTCAGGTCATTATTTTAGGTTCTTAGGAGAGAAAACAATCTCCTGAAATATGAGCATTCAGGCAGCAGCGGACATTTAGAACGAGGTAAGCTAATGTAACATCATGAGGTGATGTGGGTGGAACGCAACTTCCAGTCGGACATCTTTCATGTTGCTGTCAGACAGAATGAGTCTGCTCCATGATTAATGTTGGCTTTGTATCGAGATCATCCTCTAGAAGTTCACTGAAGAGATATCACGATATTAATGTTCTCCATGTGAACCCCAGACAGTGAATGGGTCTTCAGTGAACAAGTGAGTAAATCATCTTCTGAGCTGCTGCTCTTTAGAGGACGGAGCAGTGAGCTGCTCAGTGAATTACTGAGGACAGTCTGCTGTTTCACTACAGAGCAGAGGAACATGAACACTATGAGTGTACGTGATAACAAGCAAGCTTTATTTCTCTTTTTGCCCTTAGTCAAGAGTACTATCAGTAACTATGGTTACCCCAAAGTAGCCAATAGCCTCAAAATGCTTAAAGGATACAAGAACAAAAACAGAAGATACAAGGTGTGTCAGAAAAGTTCCAGGACTGGTGTCACAAAAAATCTATTTCCCCCCAAACCCGGAGTTTCCCTTCAGACGATCAACCAGCACGTCTACAAAGAGATCCTGTGGCGTTTGTTCATTCAGTGCGCCAGTAGAGGTGAGAGTTGTGGCAGGACAAGTCGAGGCTGCTTCACTATGACAACGCGCCTGCTCACAATGCTGAGCATCCGACAGTTCCTGGCTGAGAAGAGCATCGCCGTGGTGGAGCAACCTCCCTACTCACCCCACCTGGCGCCGTGGGATTTTTTCTTCTTCCCCAAGGTCAAGGGGCTCATCAAGGGGACCCGTTTTAAAGCCGTAGTCGACATCAAGATGGCTGTGATGACGGAGCTGTGGAGGATCCCACAAGAATCCTTCCAAGAGTGCATGGTGGTGTGGCAGAGAAGGCTGGGAAAGTGTTAGACTCCAGGGGGATTACTTGGAAGGGCAAAACTTGCAGTTTGGGTTTGAAATATATCTTTTGTGACACCAGTCCTGAAACCTTTCTGGCACACCTCGTACTAATACCAATAGTACACTGATGAAAACTTCACTAAACTACCAAAAATCAAAGAACTTAACATTTTCTAGACGAAAACCTAATCAAATGAACACAAAGTATGAACCATGCAACTGAAAACATTTGGTGGAGACATCACTGCCCTGATAGAACGTTACTGGTGCACAGCTACTCTGCAGGATAACAGGATCGTGGTGCTTTTACTTGGTTGGTTTTGTGTAAACAGCTCCAGTCATTGGGAAAAGACTCACTGTTTCAATAACAAAAAAAGGAAACAAAATCATTCTTTCTGATATCCCCCTGAATTAAATCCATGTTATAAATTAAAAACTACCAATAATATCACAAAACAGCTGTAGGTATTATTTTTGAAATAATAACTGACCTAAAACGCTGGATGTAAACAGCATCTTGTCCTGTGGATAAATGGTGTAAAACCTAAAGATACATCTTAATAACTCTCCCAATTTTGAACAGATGCTCTTATAAATGTGTTGTATTCAAGTCAAAGAGCAGAGATGTTACTGGAGGCATTTCCTCAGACTTGACAAAATTGCTCTGAGCCACAGAGAGCACTACACTATATGACAGGCAGAGTGTCACTATGTGAATCTAAATGCATTTAAAGCGCCCTGTGCAGCGTGCGGTATCCTGTGAAAGTAGAGCAGGTACCTTACTTACTAACCTCAGGAGGTTTCTGTTCACTGTCACCTGTCTTCCCGTCGGTTCCCTGGAGGAGCTTTGAATGTCTTGTTCTGAGAGAGGATCAGAAAGCAGAAGGTTAATATTTAATTCTCAGCTTCACCGCATGTTTTAAACAGCTTATGAGCCTCCTCCAACAGCAGAGGTACAGCCGAGTCCCAAGATTTTAGGAGAAACGCTTTCACCAGTCAGGGCCAGTTTAAAGTGCATTTATAGCTGCTCACCTTGTGCTTCTTACACTTCATGGAGAAATTTTCTTCAATGAGAACACAGTCTGCAAGAACGAGAACAGAACAGGAGTTGAAGATGCCGCACTGATTCATCGCAAAGGTTCAACCGCCCACACTTGCAAGTTCAGGCCTAGCGGAAGTGATAACAGCCAACAGCAGTTCACAGAGGAGCTATTTCCAGACCAGCGCACACACATGTACGCACACACAGGAACTCAAAGGCACACACAAATGCACACGGCACCGGTCGAGGGTGTAATGTGTTCAACTTTAGATTCTATCAAGTACAGAGTTAATTTGAGACATCAGGCGTGTGCCAGCAAAAAATGTAGGTTCTATTGTGCAACAGAAATGTAACGCTGCCAGTGTGAAGATCAGATTGGTCGTGCAGATAGCACAACGGCATGGTTTCTGGGAAGTTCCTGTGTCATAATGAGGAAGAGGAATCTTGAAAACATATCTGAAAACCTGGACAAATACAACTAAACCTATGTACTAAACAATGAAGTTAAATATGCACTGAAGAGGATTAGGAAGGAATTCACTCACCTGACTCCAGAGCACATCTGTAGTGGTATTTGTTGGGACAGCCTTTGAAGAAGCAGCCCAGCGTAGCACCTGGATTGTGGCATGCCGAACACGTCTGAAAACACACAGGATGAAGTCAAAAGAACAGAAAACGCACATTTATACACTTGTGATTCCTACTTATCGTGTAAAAACATTAGAAAGGAGGTGGCATTAAGCTGATTGCTTCTTACGTCTTTTAATTAAAAGACTGCCTCAAGTAGTTAGAAATTAGATTAGATGTGTTAATACATAACCACCAATTCATTATCAACACTGCACACCAGGGAAGCTCCGAAAAGGCTTGTGAAAATACAAACCACAGGCTGTAATTATCAGATGTCAGGCACTTCAGTGGCCTTGTAAGGTCGTTAAACTGGTGAAGGTTTAGAAATCTGAACATCAAACAGCTTATGAAGAAGAAATCTGCCTTAACAGATCTGTCTCAAAGCACACATTATAAGTGAAACACCAGAGCTGAGCTTTGGTGACGCATCTGGAGCAGACTGAGGGTACTTGTAGCACAATTAGTGGTGGCCAAACTACTGGGAACATGGCTAAACCTCCCTGACAGTGGCCACTAGTAGTTCAAGTATGTATTAGTGTTCAAGTATGTATTATGGTTCAGGCTATACTCTGACATCTACCTGCCGGATCAAACCATTTGGTGTGAGGATGTTATTGTGAGGGCGTTGCTCTCTGTAGTGGACACTGGCGGGGTTAGTGCTAAAACAAGGACCTATTTACAGTCTAATGGACAGAAATTGATCTGTGACGACTGTCAACCCTCTGAATCCAAAGCCTGTCGGGCATGATATCTTTTAAAACAACAATACAATTGTTTTTTTTAAATCACACCATTTCTTAAAGCCTGAAACTGATGAATCAGTACATTCTCAAATTTCAGAAAAAACCCTCAAAAAACCTTAAAATTGTGACATTTATTTAAAACTACTTTATTCCACATGATTCTTTAAAAAGTCCCCAAAACAAACCATTTGCAGCAGATTGTGTAAAATCAATTCTGTGCTCATCAGAACAACTACGGAGCCTTTAGAACCAACAGCTTCAGGCACCATTGGGTTGACCTGCGGGCTGAGTTCACACTGGACAGCTGAACAGTATGGTCACTAACTCAATGATTAAATACCATTTTCTCCAGTATTGACAACATAGGTGGGGACTTGTACATGTTGATTCCAGTTTTTTGTATTTTCTGTCAAATAAATAATCAAATAAAGTCAACTTTCTTTCTTTTTTTTTTTTTTTATTGAAGTATTGTCTAATTTTGTCACACTGCAAAAAGACTTCCCTGTACTTGTACCCAAGACTGAGTAAAAGTGTGACAGGAGCTGATAATGCCCAGAAACTGATTGGGGATCAGAGGATTAAGTCATTTTTGGTGATTCCAAGGTGAATATTTACAGTTTTCAAGTGATACTTTGACTACGTAATAACAGGTGGTTGTATAATGACAACCACGCAAACTCCTTGTCATCATTTGCGACAGATGACTGAGATGTAGTTGCGAGATGTGGAAAACAAAAACCAGTGAGAGGACAGTGAGTTAAGTGTTTCCACTGTGATGAGTGCAGATTTAAAATAAATAAGGCGTTAGATCAGACAACGACATCAGAAATCAAAGTAAGGCTGTGTTGAGATAAACAGCTGGTGGCACTAATTTCCCAGTTGAAGCAAACCTCTATAGAAGAAGAGGGCCCAACAAGATGTTATTAAAAAACAGCCAATCAAAGTGCAAACAGTGAAAATGAATACAGAAATCATTCAGGAAATACGACACATTATTTGCTTGATCCGTTACTTTGAGGAAGGCTACAGTTTCCTCATTGCTCCACAAAAACCTCATGTTTTCCAGTAAAGCAGAAGCTCCAGTGGAGCTTTGGAAACATCATCATTTACTTGCTCAGTAGTTTCCTTGTTCTTCACCACAGTTTGGTTTCATGAAATAAGACAATTCTCCTCCTCAGCACAGTGTAAAAGCCTCAGGATATATTTTCGCTGGATTTGTAAAAAGTTTCTGTTTTTACTCAGGTTAAGCTAAACGCACCTAAAAACAACAATCCAAACCCTTAAGCAAAGCAAAATGTCCCATATTGTACAAACTACAATGTCCTAAAGTCCCCAGTTTTCAGGCAATGATCAAAAATGTGACGACTCTGACTAATATTTGGATGTCTTTTCATGCTAACATGGTTAGATTGTTATCTGTCTGTTCATTTTTCCTTATTAAGTCGCCTCGATTAATCGGCATAATCAATGACACTGACGCAGAAAATTCATGAACATCAACACTTTAAGCGATGAATGTCTTTTTTTTCTTCTACATAATCTTTTTTTCTAAATGTTTTAACTCATTACACCAAATATGTTTTTTTCTGTATCACGGTGTAATTGTTGCATCATGGAGTCTTCCAGTCATTGATGAGCTGCACTCAGCATTAAAAATTTTTAAAAACGAGACCCAAAACTCTGAAAGTATAGGAGCAATTCAAATTATTACAGAACCAAAACATGGTTTGTACATTGTGCAGAGCTTTGATGGCAGACCACAGCAGCAGAGCACAACGTACGAGAAACACAGGTGCTATTCAAGAGGAAGTACCACCAGAAAAGGCAAATCCACCACCAAGTGTTGTCTGTTGATTAATAGGGAGAGATTTTTATATCTTGTAATATGTACTTGCTAAATAAATTGAAAAGCTCAAAGATAAAATTAACCTGAATGAAATGGCTAATTTCATTTATTGTAGAAAAATGTGGTTATTTAGATTAATCAACTCATTGGTAAAATAGTTAATCGATAATAATCTTTAGTGGCAGCCCTACAGGTGTCTTGTTGGTTGAAACGCTACAAATAAAAGTGAAGGGTTCTCTGATTCAGTGTGGGGGTAACAAATGACAGGGTCTCAGTGTTGTTCGCTTGCACCAAGAATTTCTGGTCTTTTTCAAACTGACTGACTGAATTTTCAATTATTCATGTTTCCTCTTGCTTTGATTTGAAAACGCATCTAAAATCTATCAGTGTCCTAGAGGCACAGAACCAGACTGTAGTTCGCTAACATCCACAGCGTCTAGTCGACTTCCAGCTGCATCATACCAGCCGTATTTTCATGTGATGCTGTGTAACGACATGTTCATATTACGGGCATAAAGTGCAGCTTTACCGTCTCCTGGGCCACCTTGACAGCCTCCTCCAGCCCGTAGACTTTGCCCTTCACGAGGAACACGCCTGCAGACCAGATGCCGCAGTCTTCATGGAGCCAGTACTCACAAGGCTCCAGAGGCAGCACAGGCGGGCTGTACCAGTCCTCCACATCTGCAGAACCAGCGTCTGACCGAGCCCGCTTAGCTGCAGGGCTGCTGGTGCCGTCACCGGTCCACCGTTGCTTCTCCAGGAGGCCTTTCTGCCTCAGCTGAGCCCCTGGCCTGAGGGCCCACGACGTGGGCCGACTGGCACGCTTCCTGCCCCTGCCCCTCACACTGCAGGCCGAAGAGTCAGAGTCACTGTAGTCATCCTCCTCTGCTTTGAGGCCCGACGCGGTGGCTGGTGTTTTGGTGCTCGGCCGGTACCCCTCAGGGTAGTAAGGGCCATGGAGGTCCCCCAAGTCCATGGCGTTGGCCGACTGCCCGCACAGGCAGCAGACCAGAGAGCGCTGGTGCTGGCTGTGCATGGACACCCGGCCCAGCTGCAGGCAGGAGGTGCTGGGTATGACAGCAGAAATAAAGCCGCTGGTGTGAGCCTGCTGCTGCTGGCCCTTCTTGTGTTGCGTTCTAACCTCCTCGGGGTAATTGATTACAGTACAAAGGGATGGCGACGACTGCTGACGCTCCACACGGATGAACGGAGAAAAACTGTCCAATCTCAAGTCTCTTTTCTCTTCCTTATAATTGATGTACTTAAGCTTGATCTCGGGCTCCTTGGGAGAGAACATGGAGGAAGACTGGCTCGGTTTGTGTTTCTTTCGCCTTCGTTTGGGAGTGCGAGCTGCTTTCGTCTTGGCAGTGGGAGATGTTTTGCTACCAGGACTTCTGCTTTTGGCTTTGCCTTGACTTTTCTTTGGAGATTTTGATGGTGGTGGGGAAAACCTTGCCACATGAATTTCCACTGAGGGATCAGGCAGAGAAGGCATCTCTGGCTCCTTCTTTGAGTTCTTGTGCACAGCAAACTGAGGACTTGACTGTGATGAGGTTTTCCTCTTTGACTTCACAGGGCTGCTCTGTGGTGGCTGCACAGGGGGAGACACAGCCACTGGTTCTCTCTTTGACCTCGTGTGCACAGCAAACAGAGGACTTTTTGGAGGTGTGCTGCTGTGTGCCTTAGAATTATTCATGATTTCAGAATCAGAGGTAGAGTCTTTGCAACTGTCAGTATTATTGTTCCTAGATTTACCCCTTGTCACTGGAGCTACTGCTTTTCGTTTTGTTTGTTTCACTGAGAAAGGTGCCTTCACTTTGCCTCTCCTTTTATTTACTAAGACAGCATTAGTCCTCCTAGGACTGGCTAAGCTGGAATCACTAGCTGCTGATTGGAAAGCACTGGCTTTCTTATGGGTGCGTATGCATCCTGACACTTTATACCTGCTTGAATTTATGTTCATGACTATGGCCTCTAACCGCGTCCCTCTGCCGGAACGCAATGGCAGTTTCCTTTCTTTTAAAGTTCTCTGTAGCACCTTTGCATTGCCGTTCATGTGAGGAACAACAGTCTTGGGTTTGTTTTCCGAATCATCTGACACACAAACATCATCTGTCAAGTCAATCAAAGGCTCCAACACAGCCTTCCGTCTATGGGCTCGCTGTTTATTTTCATCGCTTGAATCCAACCCTGTGATGCCATCACTGATGCCAGAATTGGGCTGAATGGTCTCTTCTGTACTCAAGTCATCACATGCAGCCTCCCCAGCTATCTCTAGATAAGAGTTGTCGCCGCTGGGCGAGCTGGAGGCCTGAGGCAGGATGAACACATCCTCCACGTCGTCCAGTGAGGTAGCAGAGGGGGAGACGGGGTCGTCCAGGGGACTTATATACTCCCTGCTCAGAGAACACAGGGCTCTAGCTCCTTTTCCATCTGAGACAACCACTGGCTCCTGTTTCTTTGACATCAGGAAGACCACGTCAGAGTCCCCTCTCCCCTCATCCTCCCCTGTGATGTGGGTTAGGGTCTCCGGTGATGCTCCTGAACTTGACCAGCTTTCTCTTTGACCATTCTCCAAACCTCTGATGTTTTCCCGAGTAAGGCTGTGCTCCTCTTCCCCTTGAAGAGGCTTTTCTAAATCCACACCACTGGAAATGACTTCACCATTAACCTCATTAGGCTCCTGTGTTAGACGTCCTCCCGCATCGTTCTCTGGTCCCACATGAGCCTGAGACAACGACTGTGTGGCGAGGTCCACTGGCTCCGAGTAACGCTGGGTGAGTGCATAGCCAGTCTCCCCGAGCCCCTTATCTGTGTCACAAGGAGGGTGGAGGGAGAACTTGCTGATAGGCGGCACGCTGTAGACAGGCGAATGTTGAGATAGGGAGTCGTGGGTGGAGAAGACGTGAGACCTGCTCACATAGGAGACGGTGACTGTAGTGTGGGAGAAGGCATTGTCTGGTTGAACTTGATCCCCTGATTGGAGCGTGATGTCCGAGGCGCCGGTCTCTGAGAATTGTATTCCAGAGTTGTTGCTGGTCCCAGAGTTTGGGTACCAGCCGGGGCTCCTGACAACTCGCACGGCATCCAGAGCCGGAGAGCTAAGGACACATTCCCCCCCTTTCCTGGTCAGGTCGATCACAGTGGGGATGCTGGAGGTGGAGAGGTCTTGAGGCTGTAGATCATCTACGCTCCCAGGTGGCTGCTCCATAACAACTGCCACAGATGGAGAGGAGAAAATAAGCTGGTTTAAGTTATGAATGTAGGAACAGAAAATCTATTTCTGAAATTGCACCTTGGTCTTTCTACCACTGTCCAGCTCAGCACATTGCCTTACATCGATTCTCTCTTTTTAGAAAGTTGAGGTCACAGTTTGACCTATGACCACTAAGCTGTCTCACTCGGTCACTTTGTGTGTTGTTCACCCGTTAATAAAAAGTTAATTTTATGTTATGAAGACACCAACATTTCAAACAAGCCAAACAGCTAAAGTCCCACCGCTGACATTAGCTACAAAACTGACGAGTGCTTGATTTTCATTAACGTTGGAGAACATAGCAAGGGTTAACTGTACATTTACGATTTGGCTTATTTCCAAATTGTCTAAATAGTAGCATATATTCGGAATACGAAGTCGTTATGTTCCGAGGATAATGTCTCACCAGACAACCGGCTGACTTTTTACCACCAACGCTGACAGGTCAGGTTTGCTAACGATAGTTAGCTTAGCTTAGCCACAGCTAACGTTAGCGAGCTAGCTAGCTAGGCCTGGCTAAGCTCCGGCAACGCTCCCCTACGTCGAACTGCGTTGATTTTTTGACAGTTTAAAAGAGTTCTCGGTAAAGGCAGAATGTCACACACTACAGGACACTACTTCACAACTTCTTCTACTTGGTATCTAGCACTCTTCATTTCGGCGACGTTTACTCCTTGAAAAAAGCAATTATTCCGATTAAATAGCGATTTTTACAGCTTAGTGATACACAATGTTCTTTACTGCCTTCTCCGGCCGGTTTTAACTTTGTTACAAGAACAACGGCCAGCGCAATTTTAAAATGTTGGCATTTGTTTAAAAATGTGTTTATTTTATGAATTCCGAATTGAAGAGTGGGTCTTAACAGCTAACAGAAATAAACTTTGCTGTATAGCAGAAGCGAAAATTAAACGACAAGCGAGGCATTACTAAATTGCGGATTACTTTTCATGGAGTTTGGCAGCACGTTCTCTCCATTAAACAGCACGGTACGCAGCGGGGCAAGGCCCGGCTGGATGGAACAAAGACGGAGCGGAGGTAATGACTGCGCTGAGCTGCTCATCAAAACTTACCCGGGCGGGAGAAGCCGTAGCGTTTCCAAATGTCCAGTTAAGAATCCGTCCCAGCCCGCATCTCCTACAGCGACACGTCTGCTCTAATGAACCCCCGTAAAAACTATACAGACAGAAAGCCCTAAATTAAATAAAGATCCACACACTTTCCAGGAACACTCTGACAGCAGCTCTGTCAAGCTGTTCGCTACATAATCTGTCGCATCCGGGCCCCTCCTTCATCATAAAACAATCAGGACGACGTTTCGGTGCTTTTTTTTAATTTGAAACCAGACGAATTGAATGTTGAATAATTGGATATTAAAACAGTGGGGGGCAAAAACAAAATAAATACTGTACTAGAACTGCACTACATTTGTTAGAAGACGGCCAACCCAGTGTCCAGTATGATGAGCACATTATCCGACTGTTGCACCCAAACTGTCACAGTAAACTTTAGGCAGGCACCCACTGAGGAATCTGTCTTTTTTATTTTTTTCTTGGAGTGGCAGATTTTTTTCAGCGCTGCCTCCAGCTGTGGGATGGGTAATTCCGGGTGACTTGACATGTGAGCATGTAAGGTGAGCGGCAGCAGCAGCAGGAACAGTTGTCGGCCAGCTGTGGAGCACGGAGGCATTATGGGAGCACACTGGTCTGACCTGTTCCAGTCCACATGAGTGACACTGAAGTGTGTGTGCTCCTTTATTTTTCACAAATACTTACTCTGTAGGTTGTGATTATTATTGGTAATAACACATTACATAAAAATACACTGTCTGATGAATATTATAAAGCATTAACACCAATTCGTCTTCCACCTCCATTAAGGTGGGGCCTTTGCAACGGATGTATATATAAAAAAGAATCAAAGCAGCAGTGGCTGGAAATACTAACCTTTAGTCCCATAATGCAGCTCATTAGCACCATTTGCCTGAGAGTTGGCCGTTCAAAGATCAGCTCTGTTGAAAATCAAGGTAGCATGTTTATATTGTGTTTTGTATGTGCGGAAAGGCGTGTCAGCTGTCTGAAAGCCACATAGGGATGGGTATGGTTAAGATGTTAATGGCACCACTATTTTTTACCAATACTGCCCATCAGTTTGGTGCTTTAACAGTACTCTTATCTGTACTTTTTGATTGTTCAAAGAGAAAGAAAACTACACAAATTAAGAACAGGATAAAGATTGCTTAATTTTCTCACAAGTACTGTATAAGAATTACAATTTATATCGACACTAATGTTGTGTTGATCAGAGCAATGTGGACAATGTCTCAGGTTTTACTCACAAAATAAAATAGTATGTCCAGTAATATGTCAGAATTAAAAGCTCCAGCTTAAGCAGATGTTAGGTTAAATGTCTGTACATTGTCTTGACAAAATGTTTGTCACTCTTCGCTTCTGGGTATAAAAAGAATGCAGGACTTGGGCAGCATTTTTACTGTGATTTTAGCAGTTTAGTGGGGGGAAAAAACTGGATAAGTACTTCTTCTACACTAACAGCAACATTCAGGCAGAGGAACAGTGAAAATAAAGTCAGACAGAGTATGTCTGCAGCCTATAAATCTCTAAATCCTGCTGCTTTGTGTTCTGAAAGTGAAAATTCAGAGACTCCAGCAGACAGAACACCTCGGTACCCATCCTTACATAAAACATTGTTAAAGGCTTTGGGAAAAAAGTAAGTGGTCTTTGTGTTCCACCTGCTTTGTGCAACTACTGTCTCCAGGGTCAAGAATGAAGCTCATGACTGACCTTTAAAAGAAGGCAGATGAGAAGTCCTCAGGGTGTTGTGGATAAAAGGTAACAGCTACTGCAGGTACAGGGTGTATCCTCTTCCTTTTAAAACTGTCACAGAACCAAACCAGAGCAATCAGCTTTAATTTCATATAAATCATAAGAGACCACGACTAGATCACCAAGTGGGCAGCTGTTCAGGAGCCACATGTTCATCCATCTCCAGTGGCTTTGGCAATTACTTTTTGGCCCTGTTTTATGAGGTAATTATTTGACCCTATGTTGTGGAGGGAGCATGTGTTAAAATACATGTATAAAGCCTTTATTATTTCAGTTTCTATTGGCCTCAAGGGGGGTATATATTACCAAATAAAGTTGTGTTTAATCAAAGGACTGTGTCAGCACTGGATGATGATTGCAGGACTTAATGGGAACCTGGTGGCAGCAAGTTTCATATTCAGAAGGCTGTAGTTGGGTGATCAGCATCTTAATAGGTTAATGCAGCCATGTAAGAAATGCTAACAGCTAGAGCACGGTGCAAATGTTTATATGTTTAGTGTGAGCATCCTTTGTCCTTAAAACTGCAGTAGTGCTCCGCTGTATACTTAGGCACAGTTTTTCCAGGTTGTTCAGCATCTTGGAGAGCTTGCCTCCTGTCTTCATATCATCTCAGACTGACCGACTGTGATGTTGAGATCAGGGCTGTGTGGGGGCCACACCATCTGCTGCAGGACCTGTGGTTAAACATGCTTCTGTGTGTGTGTGGAGTGTTTCCTGTTGGCTCCAGAGCTGAGCCTTTTTAGTATCTGACTGCAGCACTGTTTATTGATCTTTTTACATGTATTTTTGAGCATCCAGCACCCACTACGCATTAATACAGCAGTGTATTTATAGTTATCAGGCCTTGCTTGTGGCTCATATCAGGGACGTGGAGTTGCCACATTGGACTCTAATGGTGCTATTAGGTGTTCTTAATTACACCTTGGCATTTCCTGCCTTCACGTCCAAATAACTACTGTGGAAAAGGTCAACAGGGCACGGCCTTGCTCAGTATTATAAATAAGTTGCCGACATTGCACTCAAACGAGGCTGTTTCAGTGTAGAAGGTATTACTTGAGGGAGAGTGATATGAAGAAAGACGGGGGACTCGGCATGTATGTGAATGAGAGATGGTGTAATGCTGGCATCTTAACGTTAAAGAGCAGCGCTGCACGAAGGACGTTGAACTGCTGGTGGTTAGTTTGCCGCCGTTTTACCTGCTGAGGGAGTTTCCGCACGTCCTGGTGATTGCAGTTTACATCCCCCCCTCAGCTGAACTCATCCACAGTTCAGTGTCCCAGCTGCAAACATCACACCTTCAGTCTCTGATCATCATCTCAGGAGACTTTAATTATACATCGCTCTCTACTATTCCCCCCACATTCAGCCAGTATGTGGACTGCCCAACCGGAGACGGTGGGGCCTTGGACCTGCTGTGTGTGGACACCAGGGATGCATATTACTTGATTATTGATATTTTCTTGTACTTTCTTTCTATGTTTTTGGATGCTGCTGTTTAATAAATTTTAATTTTAATTTTAGTAATTTCCCAGGTCTGGAATAAATAAAGTATGTTCTATTCTATTCTATTGTAATGATGATGCTGTCACTCAAGGAAGTTTGTTGTTTGTCTTTTGACAGTGATGTCCACCTTCTTGAAACCCAAGGCTGCTGAACATTATCTTTATAAATACTGTACAGTTGCTTGGTGTTAAGACTGTACACTTTTTAGTGATATACATAATCAGCCTCATTGTTGATTAACCCGTTTTTTATTTTCTGGATTACCTGATAAACTTTTTGCTTTAGAAAAAGACAGAAGATATGCCGATCACTGACACAGAACACGATAAAAATCAGAAAATTTCACAATTAAGGAACTGGGATCAGAGAATTCAGATTTGTTTTCTGTAAAAAAAAAAAAAAACTCAAATCAACTGATTGTTAAAATAACTAGCGATTGCTATTAATATAATTAAAATTTGACAACTAAATTATCGGATAATGATTCATCGTTGCAGCTCTCACTGGAAGACTAACAGTTTTTGGTCAAAGGTCTCTGTGTGCATGTCTTCATTCACCCTTCCTTCAGTTCTGAGCAGCCTCTTTGTCTTTGCTGCTAAGAAACCCACTCATAGTATGATGCCACCCCCATGCTTCGCTGTAGGAAAGTCACCAACTCATGTAGAACTTGGAAGTTTGTCAAATATTTATATTTCTGTCCAGACCAGGTCAGAGTTCTTCTAGTCCTTTAAATGCAGTTTTTGCTTTTATATTACTAAAACCATGATTTTTACATTGTCATTTTGGTTTTTAGGTGGTCAGATTTTACACATTTAAAGTTACATTTACAACAAATAGTGGTCAAAAAGCAAAGACGTCTGAATACTCTCCAAAGCGACTCTAAATACGACAAAAGAGAATCACAAGCTGGAGGTCTGGGCTCTCAAACGGCTGGAAGACAACTCTGCAGGATTAAAATTTGTAACCAGCTGAGAAAGCAGACAACATATTTTTTTCCTTTTTAAAGTTTGAACTGTCTGCAAATTACCAGAGAATATATAACTTTAGGTCTGGTACATTGTAAAAATAAAACAGGTACTTATTAATGTTGAGTGCTTGTTGATGATAATAGACGAAATAAGAAGAACTGTAAACTCCAAGTGATGAGGAAGTCAGAGATACAGCTGAACGCTTCATGATAAGTCAAGCTTGACTTGAAATACAGTAAAAAAAAAAAAAAAAAGCAGCACGCAGTAAGAAAAATTCAAAACAGACACTGCAAAGGGTGCAAAAATATTTATTGCTAATAAACCTGTAGTCAGTTGGTGTATATTTGCTTTATATTTACAATAATAGAGTACAGAGGAATGGGAATGCGAAAGAAAAATCCCAACCATTTAAATAAATACAAAGGGACTGCCACTGAACAAGACTACAAACATAAACCAACTCCAACAACTCCTAAACAGCTGGACCAATGATTGCAGTAAGAAAAAAAAAAAAACTCTATATAAATTTTCATATATATATATTTAAATTATAGTCAGTGAATCCGGCCATATGCGTTCAGCTGTCGCCTTTCCACGGGTTTCTCAGATTTGTTTTTTCTCCATGGACTGCAGAGAACATCTTTGATGTTAATTTGGAAGTGAGGCGATGAAGCAACATGGGCAAGGACTTATTTTCTACTGCAGACGAGCGTTTTTGTTCCATAGCTTGTTTACTGAGCAACACTTCCATCTGTGCTGGAATGACAATGGAGTGGTGAAACGTTAACGTGCAGATTGACCGCCAGACTAATTCCTATGGTGTTGTTAAAGCAAGTATTATTCATCCATACGTAGTGTGTTTAGCCATTGAACATCACATTTCTGCCTTTGGCTAGCAAC